CCAAATTCTCCTAAATTTTGTTCTGTTTTATTGACCAATCAGTGATATGCACTCAGTTAGTCTGAAATGAACCAATCACCAAGCAAACACAGTCAACGCTATTCATCAATCATTTTCTTGATGCACTTCAATCTATGAATTTTTTTTTTGCATATCCATCAATGAGTCATACATAATCAATTGATCGATTGTGTGCTAACTTAGGTTTAAATACTCCCCCGACAAAAATAAAGACACGTACACATTGAATAGATATGCAGGAATGAAAATCTCTCTTGCACTTGACCAGGACATCTCTGTCTTCACGGAAATACTTTTTGTCTCGTGATATGAATGACCATAATACCAAATTAACTGAAATTGTATAGGACAAAGTAGTAATAGTTAGTTAACTTATTCTTATATATATAAATAACCTTAAATAGAGAAGCAGAAAAAGTTGGATTGCTTTTAAACTTTAATAGCAGACATGACAAATTCACTGTCCAATTGTTTGAAACGATTGAAACCAAGAGATTTGCATTGCTATAAGCGTAAAGCTACAGTTGAAACAGGACTACAGACTAATAAAGGGATTGTAAAAGAGTCAATAGAAAATTCTGTGAATAGATTATCTTGTAAATTTAATAATAATAATGAAAGAATTTTAATATCAGTACATCTACTGTCAACACGAAAGCTTAGACATACTTACGTAAGTAATGCAAATTTATTTATACAAATATTTCTCCTATGAACGGTTGATATCGACATATCAATTTTATTTTCACAAGCTTGACCACAGATTGATGTCAGTTAGAGAATGACTGGAAACCGGTTGTGAGTACTGGACAGGTGTTTCAGCCTAGTTTGGGAATCACCGGAAGTACACACTCACCACAAGAATTCGAACTCAAGACCTTCCAATTACAAGACGAGCTGGTAGACCATTCAGCTATTGGGACCCGACTCAATCGCCAGCCCATGAATTCTAGCTTCTACCAATTCATGATTTAGCGCAACTGACACTAACCAATATCATCGCTGGGAAATCCATCCTCCATTTTGACTGGATGGACTTCACTGGTCATGCCTTCTCACTAGAACTCCAGGAAACTCCATCCTGTAGCGAGTCACTAGTCAGTTAGAATTCATGGACTGGCAGCCACTAAATCGGGTCCCACTGGTTGAATGGTATACGAGCTAGCTTTTCTTGTAACCAGAAGGTTCTAAGTCCAACCCCCAGTGGGTGAGTACTTCCGATGATTCACGAAACTAGGATGAAACAGCTAGCTGTCTAGTACTCCCTGTGACTGGTTTCCATTGGTTGTTTAACTGATATCAATCCATCGTCAAAGGCATAAAAACAAATCTTGAAAATTTAATTTTCACTATTTTTTGTTTAAAATCAATTAATTAATTTGTCAGAGAGTGCCACTGAAAACCAGAAAAAGCATAGGACAGCTGTTTCGTCCTAGCTTGGGCCACTTCAGCACTGTGCATACCCAAGATCCGATTGAAAATTGAATCCATGAAATGGAGGCTACGGGGACTAACCATATCAGGGTGAAATGGGTGCTCATTGATGGTGCTGGTTAGCTGTGGTTCTATATCGGGAATTGACATTGGTTAGGAATCACCAGTCACCGCTGAAAAAAACGTCCAGACTAGAAGATCCTGGTTATCTGTGGTGTTCATTCATGATAAAAAATGAACACTTCATTAGGAACCAAAACCAGTTAAAGAATTACTGAAGCACTAGGAAGCACTAGAAAGCTGTTTCGTTCTGGTTTGGGACACTTCATCTGTATGCACGCCCTGCGCTTATTAAGCCTCTCACTTAGGAAATCCAGGAGATTAACAGCACAGCATATCAGGCTGAAGTGGGTGAGAAAAATGTCGTGTTATTAACAAACAATAATTCCCAGCATATAACTATTTCACAGTGTTCCATAATGCTTCTCAATATTAGACAAGAAGACTTTAAATTCACGAATTATACATTATCGGGAGTTTAAACCTAACATTTGTGCTCACAGATAATTAACATACTCACTAGCCTTAATAATGGTCAGAGTAACATTCTTGCCATCATTTTATTATTTGAGGTTTAGTTCGTTATTATGATTATCATCGGTGCTTATTAGCAACGTTTTATTTCTTATAGAGATCTCATTTATAAACAATTTACCCCAAATCAACTATCTTTTATCCATTTTGTACAATCAGACAGAGTTAGTCATTTCTAGACTTATTAGGTAATGTCAAACTTTTAGTTTTTCAATCTCCACTTATGCATACCTCTCCAGGTTGTTCCTGGAATAACGTAAAGCACTTTTTAAAACATAAACGTTTATCTTTTACGAGTGTGACCACGAATTGAAATCAGTTAGAGAACCGTTGACAACCAGGAAGTGCTGGGTATCTGTTTCATCTTGGTTTAGGAATCATCAGCAGTACGCATCCACTGCCAGTGTTTGAACCGAGTAAATTCCGGTTACCAGACAATCTGGTATACCATTCAGCCACTGGAACTCAATTCAGTGGCTCGACCACCAACCAATGTCATTGGTAGAACATCCATCCTCACACCTGAATGGTTGGTTGGACCTCGCTGGTCACGACTTCTGACTAGAACTCCAAGAAACTCCATTTTGTAGCAAGTCAATAGCGAGCATCAGATTAATTCTGAAGAGTTAAATCAACCATTAAACCAACTCGTGAAAAATAACCACTGGTATTTGTTGAGTTTTATGAATTCTCTGCTATGATTTCCTTATATATATTTCGTGACTTCAATTGATGTTGACGGACGTTTAGCTGTCAACTGAGACATTATTTTCAGTGTTATTTCTTTATAGCATAAATATTAGAGAAGATTTGTAGCTCACGTGGATAATTTATATTTAGTTGTCTTCTATAAGCTAGTTGATTTAATTGTGAAGCCTGTATGGCCCCCCCCCCCAGATAGCATCGATTTGGCGTAGATTTCAATATGAAGTGAACGTTAACGAGCTATACCTGAATGATATATGCTGTGTCACCTGAAAACATTTCGGGGAAAATATGAGGTATTACTGCATTGACTCGATAAACAGAATCATCTGCGCCTATCACAATTACTAATTTGGCGTTATAATGAGTCAATAAAATAAATTTTCTGACTGAAATTAAGTGTTATAGTTTCAACACATTGCCGCCTTGTCTATTTTCTGCCATCCTCTTCAGCCGGGTCCAAGATTGCCCAAACTCTCGCATCTTTTCCGCGCCACAAAATCTCCTCTATTTCACTCTTGCAGTGACCACCCACTCGTCGTTTCCCATTATGCACGATGCATTATGTACGATGTCATTCGATCGCCTCCTGAATGGATGCCCGATCAATCCATCTTCATTTCCACTTACATATTTGTTGAGTAACTAGCATTCGGTTGGTGTGTTCCCAGCCAGCTTTTCTTGTTGTTTTTATTTTTATCTGGTCAGCTGGCCATTTGATCTTCAGTATGGGGCCAGGAACTTGGGCAAATGTTGATATCAGTCTTCAGCAGCTTGTTGAAAATCGTTTCCGTGATGCATGAGCAAAGTTTTTGACCTTTATAGAAGAACTGGCTGACTTCACATTTGTGTTGAAGATAAGAATCTTGTTCTTTCTGCTGGCTAAGTGCAAAAGATTTCCAAATTGGTTTCAGGTTGACAAAGGCGGATCTTGCCTTTCCCATTCTGACTAGCATTGACATCTGCATCCTTTTTGTCACCTGTAGTTGAAAGGATGCTTCCTAGATAGGTGAAGGAGGTAACCTCTGTCAAATTTCTCTCATTTATGGCGATCGGTGCTGGTTGTTATTGTTGCCGTTGGTTGGTTATCTTGATCACCTCCGTCTTCTCAGTGTTTACCTGGAGTCCTGTCTTCACTTCCTGACAGCCTTTTTTATCAGTTTGTTGCTTTCCGCTTGCCTCTAACTCTTCGAGTTTGTGTGACATTAGACATATATCATCTCCAGATCTTCTAGGGTCTTCTTATCGATCCTCCAGCGTAGTCCTGTCTTCTCACCCCGAAACACAGTTCGGGGTATAATCCAATCCATCACAATTAAGAAGATCATCGGTGATAATAGGCAGTCAGCTTGTCTTACTCCTGTATTCACTTCAAACGCCTCACTGATTTTTCCGTCATCTGACAAGTGTCACTGTCATATAGCTGTTGAATGAGGCTGGTAAAGACTTTGGGCACTTTACTTCATAGTGTTGAAGTAGTTTCCAAATTGCGTCTTGGTTAACTGTGTCTGTTGAAGGTCTTTTTGAAGTCGATGGAGTTGATGTACAAGTTTGACTGCACCCAACCCCAGGGTTCGGACCCAGGACTTTCTGTCATAAGACGAGCTCGTAGACCATTGAGCCACTGGGACCCGATCCAATGGCCAACCCATGAATTCTAACTTCTGCCAATTCACGACATAGCGCAACCATTTTGCAATGTCTTCCATGCAGTGAAACAAAATCCCTACAAAACAAATACTTAAAGATAAATGATTAAATCACTGGACTTTTCAGCTGTCAGAAAACTACCATAAGGAATCGTAAAATTTCCAGGTTATGTGTAAACTAGTAAATAAATTATCCGCTAGTGAAGTCTACCTAAATTAAAGAACAGATGGTTAAATAAGCCCTAGAGTGATCAAAACGACCGTCTGTCCTTCTCAAAACCTAAATCAAACTGCAAGGCCACTAACATCGCCATATGAATAGTTTCCAATTACGAAGGGAAAGTCTGTCGAGATCTTACTTCAGACTGGGGAATTTTCAGATTTTTCCCAATAACCTTTAAACGTTTCTGGGTACACCACTGAAGGCCCATGTTCTAATCAAGTACAATAATCATTTATAGTTAAAATTGTCTTGGTGTGGCTTAAGGATAATAGTGATTACTTAGGGTTGACTCAAGCTACTTATATTATTCAGTAGTATATACGTATTACACTAATTTTTAATATTTCTATTTTTTTTATTATCTAACACCAAAGCAAAGGCAAAATACATTACAGTCAGTTGATAATATTTCCACTGTATCTGACAATCCAACTGCTACTCAGTCAAATTTACCGATAGTACTGAAGAGAAACCCAACAAAACGATGCCTAGTTGACAGCCAAGATGAACAACTTTGGCAACAGTTAGAAACATTTGAAAATACTTCATATAACAATGAAAAGGATAAAGAGAATATGAGTAGTAATTTACGACGTCCCGTTGGTGATGGCACCATGTGTCGACTGACAAAACCACGAGGTTTAACAGGATTAAGACATTCGAACAGAAATAATACAACAGATTCTTTGCAAAGCTCGAATACAGGTAATCTTTTCATTGTTGTTAATATTATTAACGTTTGCCTTCTTTCTATATATTTCTAAATCATGAAAAGTTCCCATTAGGACATTAGAGAGAAAAGAAGAAGTTCAGCAGCAAAGATGTTGATCTTTTTGACGTGATTGTTTTCTCTAAGCTGGATAGATGCCACCTACTAGGCAACATCTTCAGCGCATACCTCGATTCGAAATAAACCTTTTTATTTCTCCACGAGTTTATTAGTCATCTCTCCTGGCGACCTTCAACATATATGGTTGATTTTGTGTGTTTTCACACACTCTAACCTTCTTGTATTGGTGTCGATCGTTTCTTCAGCTGAAAGTTTATCCTTTGTGTGTGAGATTTCCTTCTCATTGATTGGTAGATTTTGTCTATGTCGATGTGTCTATTGATTGGCGATTCACTGGAATACCAGGCAAAGCTTTTAAAAATTCTCTAGCATTCTTGGTGTTTCTGTTGTCTGATATTTGAACGCTGGTTGACCCAGTCGAACTTATGTCTGTGGTTGTCTGTATGCAGCGATATGAGCGAGGGAGTGGATATCATGTCTTTTGACCGCTAGTTTATGATCGTGGGTATGAAGACGAAGGGGGCGTCCACTTTGGCCAATTTAGTGCTTTACGCAATTGTTACAATTTATTTTGTAGGTGATGTTGGTTTTATCTTCATTCGTTGTTGAGTCTTTTGGTTGACATAGAGCTAGCCAGCCAGCTGAGTGAAGTGATTTTGTTGATTTGAGGAGTTTTGCAGTGATTTCTGAGATATCCTTTATAGGCGAAGTTAAATTTTAAGCACCACTCACTATCAATGGAGTGCGACCGCGACAGTGACCTTGAAACGCTCACTGTGCAAGTTAGTGAAATCTGGCAAAAATGTTGTCATCATCAATAAATTTTGTCAATCGAAGTATTATGTTATAAAATGGGATATCCGGCAAGTTTCAGCTTAGGTTTGGGAAAGATTAAGTTACTCATTTTAGCCAAGGACAAGTTAAGGTAAGGTTAATCTAACGAAGGTGACAGTAGGTTCGATTCGCGTTACATTACAGTTAGGTTAGGAATATTTTCACGTAAGGCTTAGGTTCAGGAAAGATTAGGGTTATTGTTAGAGTCGGAAGACTTGAATAATTGCATGCATAGAATGTGATTAAATTACTCTGTTGATATAAGAACAGAACTTGTGCACTGTAGCAGAGTGTAATTCCATTGTGAATAAAATTTATTTTGGTTAAGTCTCAGGGTGTTATACAGTAATATTTAGTGATGACGTTTCGAGCACCATTTATTGCTAAGTAAATATTGCTGCATAACATTATGAGGCTCTGTCGAAATAAATTTTATCCACAATGGAATTATACTCTGTTGATAATCCAGCCTAAAACTAAGAGTTATCTTTATCACAAGTGAGAAGATGGTATCCTCTGTTATACTTTATACAGTTTTGTACAATAAATGTATTCAATACACAAAATGCCTCCATCGCGTGATTGGCGCGTTCGGGGTCATTCTCTGATTGGCAGTTAGTGGTGCTTAAAGTTTAACTTTGCCCCTTTATATATTGATCTTTTCAACGATTTCATTCTCAAAACTAGCTGCACATATTGGACTAGAAGATAGTTGCGTAATATGTAAAATAGTTTCTTAATGAATAGAGGTGTGAATGAGATAGGCATGGCGACAAATTGAAATAATTATATTATGTAATTCGCTGGCCCACCATATTATAAGAATTCACAGCAGTGACTGCTTAGAAGAAGAGATTCTGTTTTCTTTAAGAATATCCTGGCTTAAAATGGATATGCAACACTTTTTCTGGAGAAGAAAATGAAACAAAGTTCAAAAAGGCGAAGAAGGCATTTCAGCTCCAAAGAAAACACTATATTCGATTCTGGACTTCAGGTGGAACTTAGCTGCAGATATTCCCAAGAGGAGAATCTCCAGTTCATTAATCTAGTGCTTTTCTGAAGCAACTTTAGGAGTGATATTCTCCAGCTGCCCACTGCTTTGAAGTAATGTGAAAGACAGACTTCCGCGTATGACCTCTTCAATGTGCATGTATGTACCTGCTGATGCCGAGCTAGGCACATGGATCGATCTATGCGGGTCCTATCAAAATTTAATGGAAAATATTGCCCACCATGACTGAAAAGAGGCGGTGCTGGTACATTCAAAAGTTCCATAATTGAGCACTTCATCAACACACCTGTCACAGCATCTCAGCTGACTCGTCCATTCATCAGTCAAAGTCATTTACAAAGTAAGCTAAAATCTAGCAAAGACAATATGTTTCCGACGTCTTTGTACAGCAGACGCCTTCACCATATGCATCGAAAAGTTGAAGTTATGTGTGTTGAAAAGAAATTAGTCCAATCTCTACATCTACCACGGATCTAGTTCGGTTTAGATCGTTAGATTTCATGTTTTTGTTTCCCTATTCCCTTCGATTTTTTACATTTTAGTTGTAATAAGAGCCATTATTGCAATCAATTTCATCCCATTCACACCTGTATTCGTTAGAAAAAAAATTCTTTACACATTATGTGACTATTTTCTAGTTCTGTGTGATTTCGTTTCCAAACCCTTTGAAATTCGATATTCACACTTTCATACATTCATTTCAAGTTGAAAATTATTATCACCTTTAATCTCCTTTGTCGTTGTTATGTGGAATTATTATAATTACTATTGTTTCCTTTAGTTCCTAGAGAAATATAGGGCTTCGGCCGCACGTCTCCATTGCTTTCGATTCTCTACCAGTGTTTTAACTTGGCTCCAACGTCCATCACATGCTTTCATCTCCTCTTCACATGACCTCCTCCATGTCACCACACGCTCGCACTGACGACCAACTAGCCACTTCCCGTTCGAGTTCCGCTCGATCCACAGCCTGGCGTGTGATGTCATTTATTTGATGGTTTTTGATGGCCTGGTAATCCACCTCCATTTCTTCCTCCATACGTCCTCTTGCACAATTGGTTCCTGCTGTGTTGGTTCGCTGATTGCCAGAGATCCCTCGCTATTGCTGATCTTCCCTGGCCGGACATCTGATCCTGAGTATTGAGCGAAAACAGCTGTTGATGAAGGTGTGTAGTTTGTTTGAGGTGCTCTTCATGATGCGCTAAGTCTCTGATCCGTATAGTGAGTAGCACTGACTTCACATTGGAGTTGAAAAACCGGATTTCATTTTCACTTTCATGCTGAGTGCTGTTGGTTCCCACACAGACTTGTGAGAAATGAAAGTTTGACTTACTTTCTGGATGATCCTCGCTTTAATATCCTAGTCAGTTCCGTCCACCTGTAGTTGAAACGATGCTTCCTAGATGCGTAGGTAGGTAGGGAGGTTACTTCTTTCGGGTTTATCCCATATATGCTTATTGGTGTCTGTTGCTGTTTCTGTTGGCCAGGAATCTTCATCATCTACCTCTGTCTTCTCTATGTTCACCTGAAGGAAGTCGTATTTTCTCTGGATGCTACTTCTGCCAAACTACTGCTTTGCACTTGCATATACTCCATGCAGTTTGTGGAAAATCAGACATATATCGCATCGACGAAGTCCAGATCCTCTAAGTTTTTTGTTTGGGTCCATTTTATGCCTGTTTCCTATGTGGAATTCAATAAGTAATAATTGTATGTATATAAATTCGATTGTACAGCTGGTTTTGAGAATGAAACCGCTGTAAAGATCAACATTTTCGCTGTTGAACTTCTCCTTGTTCTTCTTTTATCTCTCTCTCTAATATTTTGAAATGTCTATTCTTTCCAGCTGTTTTTAGTGACTTCATGAAGTTAATGAAATGCTTCAAGGATGCCTTTTGAAGTAGGAATTATATTTCTTCTGGTTTTGAAGAAATTATCACTCGGAATAGTTTTCCAATTGATTTCACATGATGAAGACTGTCACTGGCTACTACCATCCTCCCCTAAATATGATTTTCTGTCATAACTCGAATTTCTAGTATCATTCAGCATATTTTAATTGCATGGTATTATTATGTACTACTACTGATTGACCGATATGAGTAGTAGGATACCACTCATTTAATTAGTAGCACTTGCTAGTGAGACAGAAATGATCTAAACACCGAACATCTGAGGATTAATTCGAAGTAATTTGGAGGAAGGTAACTGGCTGCGGAATGTGGGATGCACATTTTAGTCTCATTTTACGGCTCGTCAGATGGGTATATTCTGCTTTGCATCGTGAGTGATTCTGTTCCCACTTTAACTGAAACCCAATAATCCCGTTACTTTAGGTTAATCCTCATTTACATCAAAGCGTCTCTGCCAGGAACCGATATGTTGACAGCAAACATTTAAGTCCACTCAGTCAGCAGAAAAAATGAAAATTGGATGGAGGATTTCATCATGAGCTGACATCAGTTAGAGAACCATTGGAAAACCTGCAAGGAGTACTGAACGGTTGTTTCGTCCTGTTTTGCGTCTCTTTATCAGTAATCACAGACCGCCCGCGGGCTTCGAATCCAGGACCTTCTAGTTACAAAGCCAGCAAGCTCGTAGACCATTAAGCCACTGGGACCCGATTGAATGGTCAACCCATGAATTGGATCGGTCCAGTGGCTCAATGGTCTACGAGCTCACCTTGTACCAGAAGTTCCTAAGTACGAACACCAGTGTGTGGGTGCTTCTGAAGAGTCGCAAACTAGACTGACAAAACAGCTGTCCATTACTCCCTACAGGTTTACCAGGGTTCTCTAACTGATGTCAGCTCATTATGAAATTCTCCATCCATTCAAACAAAATCCCCACAAAACCAATACTTGAAAATCAAAATTGACTTAAAAACAGGTAACATCTGATCCCGTTGCACAGGGGATGGCTTTCTTGGCCCATATAGTCTGGTGGATAAAACTCTGACACTTGAGATGATGATGGTTAGTTGGTTCAAGTCTAAGTAGGAACATTACTACTTAATGATGAATGTAGGTACACCCAGATGATGAAATGCACATCTTGGATTCTACTGGTAATCACTAGATTTGAAATCACATCAAGGTCATCATTTCATTAGAATCACCATAGGTAGACCCTAAGAGTCATGTGGATGATGAAATACACAAATTACTGAACGCGTATTGTAACCCTGTAATAACTTATTGGCTTTTGAGGTTCACCAATCAGTCAATTACTGTCACGAGTGAGAACTCCTCTCTGCCCTTCTGAATACAACTGACCTCATTGTAATCTAACATATCACAAGCAAATATAAAGTATGGAAGATTTCATCATGAGCTAAAATCAGTTGGAGAACCACTGGAAAACCTGCAAGGAGTACTGGACAGCTGTTTCGTCTAGTTTGGGAATCTTCATCAGCAAGCACCCACCGGGATTCGAACCAGCACCTTCTGGTTACAAGGCGAGCTCGTAGACCACTGAGCCACTGAGATCCAATCCAATGACCAGCCCATAAATTCTAACTTCTGCCAGTTCACGTATGACATAGCGCGACCATTTCTCAATGTCTTCTTCGATGAGTTACTGCCTCATCTTCAACCCGCTGTACCCTACTGGTCACGGCTTCCCACTAGAACCCCAGGTTAACTGTCTGAATAGGGCCAGACACTAGTGAGTATCCGATGAATTTTCAGGCATTGGTTTTGTAAAGATTTTTTCGTTTGATTGCATGGAGGATTTCATCATTAACTGACATCAGTTAGAGAACCCCTAGAAAACCTGCAAGGAGTACTGGACAGCTGTTTCGTCAGTTAGTTTTGGACTCTTCATCAGTACGCACCCACCCAAAAATCCTACATATCTAATACCTGAAAATATAAAGAAGCTTCAACAGCCACGATTTCGAAAAAAATTGCATGTATCATGCGGCGAAATAGATACAATTAATGTTCGATTTCACAGGACTACAGAGTTACAGTTGTTGACTAAATTTTAACTTACCTTTTTTTTGCTTTATTTTCTCTCCTTTTTTTGCTATTTTAGATAACTCAAAATCATCGGTTAGTAATCACATTATAAGATATAGACAATTTCATAAACCTTCATTAACTGAAATAAATACCGATGCCTTCAGTGAGCATGAACATGAGCATAATTATTTATCACTTATGAATGAATTTCAACGTAAACCAGCTGATATCCTTTACACTGACATCAATGTCATTACAAGGAGATTATTTATTACAGAGAGTACAAAACTTATGACAGCCTTATTCTTCAATGAATTACCAGGAGAAAGAGGGCAAGCAGAAGAAAAAGGCATAAAAATTGGCGTTTTTTCAAAAACTACAATGGAAAATGATTTATTCATGAGAAGACAACGTCATAGTGTTGTTGTTGTTGGTGGTGGTGGTGGTTTTGATTACTATGGAGATGAATGTGATTATCATCATCAACAATTAATACTTTCTTTGCCAAAATCTTCAATAGATGATTTATATGTGGATGAATTTCATGTGAATCATGACCGTGTAAGTTGGATGTTAATGAATTAAATTGTATCTTCTATGATTCCTTCCCTCTTTTCTGAAAGGATCCTTAAAGCTTTAGGAGCAAATCTGTAATGCATTCAGCTCTATACAATCACTTTTAACTGGCTTTATGACTGTTCAAAAGGTTATATTTGTTCTTCACATGATATTTTGCATGAAACTGCAGTATATATGCTCACTGGAGTGCCTGTGTGTGACGTTGCTTGGAATGTTTACTCAGCGTGTATCTCCAGTCTATCTCCACCGTATTCTGCAACTTTTGTTCGACAACAGGTTGTTGGTTGGTTCGTCGTCAGAGTTCTTCTTTGCTTCTGACTTCGTTGGGATGGAGGATAAGCTTCTCTGTTAACCGTGAATTCGTGATTTATGCATGTACTGATATGATAACCTTATTGAATAGTTCCTATTCGTTTATTTATGGCTCACTTTCTGAGACGTTTGTGAATGTAATACACCATGTTTTTTGTCTACTGAGGGTTGTTGAAATTGAAATTCTCGTTCTGGTGTCAGTTTATCTCAGTCTGACTCTTGGGTCTATCTCATTGTGGGATGATGTTGTCCAGAAGAAATGACGAAAGCTCCTCAACTAAACCAAACAGCTGAGAGAATACCACTAATTGCAAATCGTCCACCTGAGCTACAAATCTCTATTGATTCATAATTAATAAAAACTTAAATTTGAAGTATGCGCTGAAGTTGTTGCCCAGTAGGGCGGCAATGAAAACTTCGCAAATAAACTATCCATCCAGCTCATAGAACACAAATTCATCAAGATCATCTATAAATCTTTCCTATTATATCTAAGTAACGAAGGAACTGGAGTGGGCGGAACAAGAAGTGAACTTTCAAGACACTTCCTCTTCAAGTAGGCCTGTTTACCAAAAGAAAAAGATTAGAAACTTTCATTGACATTGTTTTTTCTAGATTTGAGTATATTAATTATGGCCAAAAGCAAATTTACTTCACCAGCTTGAATGGAAACAGCAAAAGCGATCGATTACAATTTGAATTCCCCTCGAAATAGTTGGTCCTATGTGATTTGGTATTTTGTCGTTAGAAAAATGCTGAAAATGACTGTCTTTTATACTTCATTGCTGTACAACTGTTGGACGAGATGTATAATTGTTGGAGGCACCCCTTGGCAGTGGCGAAGTAGTTACCAAATCACCTCTCGATCGACGCTGTCAAAAGCCTTATCAAAGTCGATGAAGTTGAGTGAGTTGGAGAGGTGACTGCCATTCCAAGCTTTATTCAATGATGATCCGTAGAGTGGAGATTTGATCAATACATGATTTGTTTCTCCTGAATCCAGCCTGTTCCGGTCTAAGTTTTTCATTCAGGGCGTGTTTGAACCTCTCCGGGATGGCGCGGCTTAGTATTTTGCTTGGAACGAACAGAAGCATAATTCCACGCCAGTTTTTGCATTGACTTAAATCTCCTTTCTTTGGTAGTTTGAATAAGTATCCGTTCTTCCAATCCTCGGATACTTTGCCCTCTTTCCACACCTTCTCCAGCAGTGGTGTCATCGAGTCCGCTGTTGTCTCTGAATCCATTTTCAATGCTTTTGCTGGGATTCCACCTGGTCCTGCTGCTTTCTCAGGTTTTAGCATCTTGATTGCCTTCAGGATTTCTGTTCTCATCGGAGAGTTGATGTCCACAGGTAGTTCTGCTTCTGTTGCTGGTATTATTGGGCACGTTGTTAATGGCGGTCGACTAAGTCTTTTGAAGTGTTCAGCCCATTGTTTCCTTTGCTCCAACTCTTTGGTGATTGACTTTCCATTGCCATCCTTTACTGGCTTAATCTGTGTCGAACTTTTGCCCGATAGGTGCCTAGTTGTTTGGTAGAGTGTGGCGAGGTCTCCTTTGCCTGCGCTGCAGCTTGTTCTGCTTCATTTGCCATAGCTTCATAACATTTTCTTTTGTTTTTCCTGACACTTTTCTTTACTCCTTTGTTCAATGTATTTTAGCTTGCATTCAAATCCTGTTTTTGTTGCTCGTCAGTGCACTGGATAATCTTTTGTTTCACCATCCTTCTCTCTTCTATTAGTCTTCAAGTGTCGTAGTGAGCCACTGTTTGTCATGTCTCTTCATTCTGACTAGAACTAGATGCACTAGGCACGTAAACGGCTTACTAAATATTTCTCTTACTAAAACACAATGCAATGTTACCTTCCAATAGTCTGAAGATCTACTGGCTTTAAATTCCAGGGCAAAATATATAAACAAACAGATGGTGTAGCGGTAGGATCACAAATATCCCCTATTGTAGCAGATATCTTTATGTATGATAGCTGAGGAATACATAATACATTTAATCCTACTCTGAAAATATGGTGGAGGTATGTGGGTAACACTTTCATATTATTAAAAACAGAACATATCTCTCTCTAGCTTCTTGACAAACGTCCATAAACCCACTAGTTTAGGGAATAAAATTGACATTTCAATCGGAAAATGAACAAGGAGAACAATTAGCCATGATGTTAGATTGTAAAATAAAACGAATAGAAGAAGGTAAACTGCACAGTGGCGTTTATAAAATGTCAACACATTCAAATAAATATTTAGACTTTAATTCATGTCATCCGTTGACTGTTAAGGCAGGCTTAGTGAAGTGTCTAACAAATCGAGCAAAAGCACTAAGTAGTATAAGAAGAGACCTAAATGATGAAATGAAACAGATAGAAGAATAGCTGGTTGGTGTTGAACAACTATCCTATAAAATTCATTAGGTAGATCAGAAAAGGCCAAAAACAAAATAAAATTAATTGTGAAACTAATAATGATCACATAAATTAGAGAGAATATAAGTCATCTACTGTTATACCATATTATGAGGGAAAATCTGAGACACTCTCTACGTAGGATTTTTAATAAAGCAGGAGTTAGAGTTGCATTCAAACCTACAAACTCACTCAGATAAGACAAGCGCTGTGAGCTAAGAGACCCGATGGACCCAATTAGACAAAATAACATAATTTACAAAATACCTTGCAGTGACTGTGAGTTAAGTCAACTACATAGACAGAACTAGTAGGTCGGGGGTAGTCTGACTGTTGGAACATAAGAATTTAGCTAAGGTTAGAACGATTGATCCACCCACAAAGACGAGTAATTTAATAAATTCAGCAATTAACACACAAGCACACAACACGATGGGAGAGAGTTAAAATTCTAAAAGTAATCTAGGTAGGTGGAGATAGAGAGAGGCTGATTACTGAATCGCGCCTGGTTCATCGAGTTCACACTTAACACATACAATATGAATGACTCATCACTCATGCCGGAAATATGGAAAATACTACTACGAATCAAATCAAGCGATGGAAAAAATAATGGAATTATATAAACGAAATTAGAAAATTGTGTGAGTAGTGCCTTGATATGATTATGATCAGTATTAAATCGTACTCGAAACTTTATCATCAGTAAATATTACTGTATAACACTCTGAAACTTTATCAAAACAAATTTCACCCATAATGCGATTACATTTATTCCCTTTTATGAATTGGAATAAAACAAGAATAACAGTTTTTGCAGAATAAAATGGTACAATCATTGTGTATTTCCTTGGCTTTTCATCAGCTGCTTACAGCCTAAAGTCATCATAAAGTTTATCTACAGAAACAATTTTAACATATTGAATTGGAATTTTTTGATTTTCCCGTCGATTGATTGGACCGAAGTGCTCGGTCTCAAGAGGTGGCCAGCTCTCGTGGCCCAAATGGTCTAGTGGATAACGCTTTGGCATTCGAAACTATGGGTACTGGGTTAGAGCCTCGGTGGGAACATCATCACTCACTGAGAAATGCAGGTACATCCAGCTTGCTGACGAGTCCCAAATAGGACGAAATGCGCTTTATCCTGGATTCCACTGCTAGTCACCATCCACCAATTGAATTTTAACATAACTGCACAGACAGCTCATTTCTAAACAAAAATCAGTCAATTTATATATATATATACAATAATAACATATTTAATAATAAACACTTTATTCCGAACAACAATGATCATACACAATGGAAACTTCCAACATTACGTAATCAGATGAAAGATAGATGAAAATATCCAGTTACCACATAAATTGGGTTTCACTCGCTTGATGGAGGTCACTTCGTAAACTTGAGGAGAATTGAACTCTTTTGCCTTTTGATAATTTTGAACGATCTTGCGGCGTCCACCTCATAACTTGTGTTAAAGAGATGCCTGGCGATGGGACTGTTCAAAGGGAAAAATTTAGACATAGGCTTAATGGGTATATGTTCAGAAAATCGTTTTTTCCAATGTAACTGCTCCTGCAGTTGGAATATTTGTTGTGTCATTTGCTATACCGTGTGAGACATGACTTCCCTCTTCACCCTTTTCTAGTCGTAGGGGACTTTGGAAATAGCGCTAAATAGTCCTATTATTATTCCCTTGCATTCCGAGTGAAGCATAGGGCTGGCTTCAACACATCTCCATTTTGTTCTTTTTTCTGCTGTCTCTTCACTGGGTAAACGATGGACCATAATCCCTCAATCCATCCTTCTTCTCAAATGATTTCCTCCATGTCACCTCGCATGAATGACCCACCTGTGGGTTCCTATTGTGATTCCACTTGAGGGCCTGATGCGCAATGTCATTCAACGGCTTCCTCAAGGTATGCCCAATCCATCTACATTTTCTCCTACATATTTGTTGAGGAATAGGCTCTTGGTTAGTTTGTTCTCATAGTTTCTTGTTATTAAATTCTTTCTGACCATCTGATCCTCACTATGGAGCAAAGGCAGCTTTTGATGAAAGTCTGCAGCAGCCTGTTGGAAATCCTTTCCGTGACAAGCTGGCCAAGTTTCTGACCCCTAGAGAAGAACTGATCAACTTGACACTGGTGTTGGTAATGCGAATCTTGTTCCCTGTACTGATTGTAGAAGATATCCGAATTGGTTTCGGGTTGATGAAGGCGTATCTTTTATCTTTCCAATTCTGACTTTGACATCTCCATCCGTTCGGACTGCCCGTGGTTGAAACGATGCTTCTCAAGTAAGTGAAGGAGGTAACCTCTGTTGAATCTCTCCCGTGGATAATGATTGGTGCTGGTTGTTGTTGTTGCTGTTAACTGGCCATCTTCATCACTCCGACTTCTCTGTGATCACCTGCAGACGTGTCTTAGCTGCCTCTTCAGCCAGTTTGTTGGCTTTCCCTTACAAGTTTTGGAGTTTGTGTGACATTAGACATATATCATCTGCGAAATTCAGATCTTCTAGTATCTTTTTATCGGTCGTCCGGCGTGTTCCCTACTCTTCGCTTTTTTTTTGGTTTGCAGCTTGATTCCACACTGTTTTTTTGGTACAAGTATGGAATTTTCAGCATTTGATATCGTTAGCCCAAATTTTGCAGGCCGACCATAGATATCAGGTGTGCGCCGGCGTGGGCTCGAACCCGGACCATGTGCATGGTCGGCGAGAGTCCTAACCACTGTGCCACCGACGCACCGACTTCCCAAAGTCTGAAGCATAATCCAGTCCATCACAATTAAGAACATCATCGGTGATAATAGGCGCTCAGCCTTGTCTTACTCCTGTATGAATTTGTCCTCTGAAGGTCATTGTTTAAAACGCAACCATTGACTGATGAATATTACCTTGAATATTCAACATGAAGAAGAGATGATAATATTAGTAATAAATGAGTGAATCATCAATCAATCAATCAATTAATCCTTCATCCGCCATCTTTTCGTATCGATTTAATTTTCAGATATTTCGTTATTTATTCACACAAGATTTAAAATCAAGACCATATTATCAGGCGAACTTTTTAGAACGTCTTGGTTTAACAGATACACTCAGATCAACTCTATGTGACTGGATGATAAAAGTAAGTCTACTGAAAAATTTTAATTCTTGATGACGTTTTCTACTATCTCTCTTAGACAATTTTAGAACTGACGCCATGATGATACCTTTATTGTGCATTCTGATAGCAGTGACTAGCGCTCAGATGCATTGTTTTAATTATTAAAATATACAATTGCTACATAATGCGCGCTAAAAGATGCCTCAGGCAAAAAGTCTCATAGTTTGTGTGACGGCTAGGATACTTTTCAGCCAGCCAGATTGAAACAGGTCGATATCCGAAGAGACTACTCATTGAGTCTTTGAACTGACGTCTGATCCACATAGCAGTGGAGCAACATCAGAGGCCACATTCCCTTGAGCTGATAGCCACCAAAACGGGTTCATAAGTTATTCGATCCTTTCGCATACTGCAGCTCATGTACACCAATAATAGTAATACTAATTTGCCTTATTCCAAAACAGTACTTGTGATACAGAATGGAATTCTCAGTATTTTACTAAAATATTGCATCCAGTTAGTACATTAACAATAAATAAAATTCTACATACATTATGGTAGTATCGGTTAGTTTTAAGAAAAACATATTGGTATGTCGGTAGCAAAGCCAAAAAGTGAACAGAATGTTTGAGGGTGTTAGAAAAGTAGATGCTAGCACATTTACTGGCGTAAGCATTCTGACTATCTCTTGTGTGAGTAATATCCCCTTCACGTAAAGGCAGTGTATAGGACTTACCTTGTAGAGTCCATGAAGTGATTGCCACCTAACAGCGTTTCTAGAGGAGGACTGAAGTCCGCTGACCCTCATCTGTACCACGTCATTTATGGGAAAATGCATGCTTTTATCCACCTGAGAATCTATTAGCTGTGGATGTACCCATTGCCAATGCTAGCCACTATCTACAAAATGGAATAAGTATGAAGGAATAGCTGTTGTACCATCTGTGGAGCGTCTTGAGTTTCCTGAGTATCTTTCATGTGGAACAACCTGATCATTGGGGTTCAGCTATATACCTTCGTTGTATGCGTAATGAAATTAATGCTTCATTATGTTACCTTCTCAGTTCAAATGTAAAAGAAGAGATATTCAAGACCATAAAAGCTGTTTGGCAATATCTTTAAGGGTTCCGGAAATCAAACTTTACATATGAGCTAATCAGGACTTTCAAAATCTGGGCAATTACAAGAAGTGAGTAAATCAGTATCATGAAAGTAAGATATCTACATACATGTAGCCAGTAGCTGTATGGTCTATGAGCTCGCCTTATAACTGGAAGGTCCTGAGTTCAAATCCAGGTAGGCGCGTACTGATGATGAGACCCACACTAGGACGAAACAGCTGCCCAGTAACCCCTCGTTTTCATTCGTTCCCTAACTGATACCAGTCCGCCGTCAAACCCGAAAGGAAGCAGTAGTTTAACATTTCAGATTTAAATTTATTTTTAAGAAATTTGGAACGATATTCAACAGTGGCATTTGTAATCAAATAGACTAAAGGGTTGAGTAACGCTCAAATCCTGAATTAAGGATTCGTCCAAATTACTGTGTGGTATCCAGAGTGAATTCCATCTATGACATTGTCATGATGAGTTAACAAAATAGACAGTAGAACTGTGTCACAACGATCCATAATCAGAAAATCAGGCAAGCATAGAGAGTAAGGGAGGTCAATGAGGAATAAAAATCAATATCTATCTGCCTTATCTATTGTTAGGACTTCAGGTGAAGATATAGAAAACAGAGGTGATGAAGATTCCTGGTCAACACCAACAGCAACAACAACAGCAGACAACAATCAGCCAGCATAAATGGGAAGAACCTGAAAGAAACAACCTCCCTCACCTACCCACCTACCTGGGAAGCATCGTTTCAACTACAGGCGGATGGAACTGACTAGGATATCAAAGCAAAAGTCAGAAAAGCAAGACAAACTTTCATTACACTCAAGTCTGTGTGGAGGTCAACAGCACTCTTCAACATGAAAATGAAAATAAGATCCGGATTTGCAACTCCAATGTGAAGTCAGTCAGTGCCACTCAGTATACGGATCAGAGACTTGGCCAGTGCGTCATAAAGAGCATCTTAAACGAACTTCAGACCTTCATTAACAGTTGTCTTCGCTTAATACTCAAGATCAGATGGCTGGCCAGAAGAGACCAGCAACAGAGAGGGATATCTGGCAATGAGCGAATCAACTCAGCAGGAGCAATTGTGCAACAAATAAGCAGGAAGAAATGGAGATGGATTGGTTGGCCATACTCTGAGAAACCATGAAGTGACATCACTAGACAAGCCATCACTAGAGTGGAACCCGAACGGGAAGCGGTGAGTTGGTCGTACAAGGGTGACTTGGAGGAAGTCATGTGAAGAGGAGATGAAAGTATGTGGCGAGATTTGGAGCGGGGCGAGAACGCTGACAGAACACTGAACGCAGTTGAACGCGCGGCTGAAGCCCTATGTTCCTCTAGGAATTAAAGAAATTAATAATAAAATAATAATTATTATCTATTAAATCATTATTGTCAGTGACAACGTTGAAAGGTTCAGATGTTAATCGAAAAATCTTATATATTCTCTACTAAACTAGAATAATTTCAAAACAGTTAAATCTCATACGATATCAAACTTTAATTCTTCACCCTGGATATAAGTGCTGATTTTGAAAACCCGCCGTTTGACGATTTGGTCGGTGTGATACATTCACAAACTATGTTAGTTGATTAAGGACAGTGCCGAAGAATTAAAAATGGTATCACAAGAGACTAACATTAAATATTAGTGTAGAGCAAGCAAGCATGAAATTTAGGTTCAAGGCTTCCTGACGATTGCTTCCAACCATCTGATAACAACAGTTCAGGTACACATGATGGTGGTCCCCCTAGCACGATGGTCATATTTCAAAAACTTGACTGACAGAATTCAGTCTGTACCAGACTAAGGACTAAGCATGCAATATGAGTAACTATCTTGTATCCAGTGAACGCATCCACTACAGTGATGCAGAATATCTACTGAGAGCCCGAATATCACACTGGTAACGTCTCTGACTGTAGTATTGGATGATATGGGTTTGAATCGCATAAGAGGTATTAGTTCTTTCAAGATTGTAGATACATCTTTTGCTGACCAGTGAATGCCGACAGCCACGTAACCTAAGTCCGGGCATGGCTTCTTACCAGATGCTTCCAACCATCTAACTACAATTCACTGGATTAGGCTGTAAACTCCCACTCACTGGGTCAATAGTTGGCTTTCCACGCCCCCCCCTTACCTATCGAGCTTTGAGTGGGTAGGTAGTATAATTACCTGTTTTTCTGAATGTCAGTATTATATACTTCCTAATAACTAGCAATGAGATTAGACAATGGAAGGTTTTATTTTATCTCCAAAATGTCGTCAGAATCCCATTCCACTCCTTCAAAATGGAGGACGAGTCTAGTATTCATTTACTTGGTGTGAATTTCCCAAGGAAGACCTATAGAACTCTGAAGAGATCGATTTATAGAAAGCTGCCATGGAATGGTCAACTGACAAATTTCTACAGCTGGGTACCCATTGGTCGAAAACGAAACTTAATCTGGTCGATTGTTGCTCGCATTCGGCGCATATGTAGCCCTGATACTGTGGAGGATGAGTTAAATCTTTTGGGAAAAGTCCTAATTAAAAAATGGATTTCCAAGGCGTTATATAGACAAGAATATACAGTCAAATTTTATGAAATGTGACCTATCATCCGTACCCAAGAAAATATTGTATATGAGCTTGGAATTCAAAGGTGAATTAGCTTCATATATCATGAAAAGAAGGATATCACAGTCTCTGAAACGAACGTTTACCAGTCGGCCATTGTTGTTCAATAACCTGAAGGATAAGATCCCGCTGCTGACTAACTCTGTGTGCGTTAATCAATTCACCGGCCCGTGTGAAGCTAAGTATATCGGTCGTTTGACTGGAGTGTTTTCCAAGAGGGTGCAAGAACACTATCCTACATCGTTACGAACAGGTGGAAATGGAGCTATAAGAAGCGCGATCATTGAACATTTGGTCGATAATGATCACCCTATCTCAATAGCCTCAGCCTTTAAAGTCATTTACAAGGCAAACAATAATTTACCAAAATCACTACGTACCCGACTCATCTATATTGCTAAAGCCATCTTTGGCTATCGAAACAGTAAATCCAGATCTCTGTGTGCAGAAAAGTTCATTCAACCCCTCCAACTTTCATGGTCTTAATTCCTCTATGCTAAAGTATGGGGTAATCCCTAATCATATTTTAGCTCTACTAATCTTTCGTTTTGTTTATTCACTTTGTATACTCTTCCTTTATTACGTCAATTTCCACCGCTGTTATTACTACTCACACTTTGAATTGTCCCCGGGTATTATTTCACTTATTCCACTTGTAATTCTAAATCGACTTTGTTTTGCAATGTTAAATTCTATGCTATTAAATTTCACACAATATTACGTAACGTTTTTATTTTTTCAAGTATTGGTTTTTGTAGGGATTTGTTTGATTGCATGGAAGATTGAATCATGAGCTGACATCAGTTAGGGAACCACTGGAAAACCTGGGAGTACTGGACAGCCGTTTCGTCCTAGTTTGGGACTCCTCATCAGTACGCACCCACCGGGGTTCGAACCCAGGACCTTCTGGTTACAAGGCGAGCTCGTAGACCAGAAGGTCCTGGGTTCGAATCCCGGTGGGTACGTACTGCTGAGGATTCCCAAACTAGGACGAAACGGCTGTCCAGTACTCCCAGGTTTTTATTTTTATCCTAATTGCCTGCCATTTCTGTAATTCTATAAGTCCTATGCGTCTTATGAATTATTCTATATATGACACTAATTGTTTTGCTACTTGACATTTAACTATGATTATAATCACAAACATTTTAATTTTTTAATTGCATTTTATACTACCACTATTATTATTCTATGCATTCACACCTTTGATTCAATTGTCTCACCAAACTCCAAAATAGTTAGCAAAAAGCACACGGGTAGCCAAATTCCTTGGAAAGCTGTCTTTCTTCTCTCTCTAATGCTTAACTTTTCATCAGTACACATCCATCAAAAGTTCATGAAGAGCCAAGCTTTGGATATTGAAGTCATTAGGTCTATGAATTACAATTAACCATTACTTGGTTACAGGATTTCATCATCAGCTGACTGACATCGGTTAGATAACCGTTTGAAAAATTACCTGAGAGTACGCGGTAGTCAGCTGTTTCATCCTAGTCTGAAACTTTTCATCAGTACGTATCCATCGGGGTTCGAACCCAAAACCTTCTGGTTACAAGGCCAGTGAGATTGTAGACGATTAAGCCACTAGGACTCAGTCCATCCAATGGCCTATGAATTCTAACTTCGGCCAATTCACGACATAGGCCATTGGATCAAGTCCTAGTGGCTTAATGGTCTATGATCTCGCTGGCCTTGTACCATAAGTTCCTGAGTTCGAACCCTGCTGTTGGTGGGTGCCTACTGATGAAGAGTTCCAACGTAGGCTGTCTAGTACTCCTTGCAGGTTTTCCAATGTTTCTCTGAGTGATGTCATCTCATGATAAAATCCTGTAACCAATCAATCAAATCCCTACAAATCAATACTTGATTGAATTAGGCATTAAGTTAGGCAAGTCAGTTAAAATTGAAATTCTCATGATGTCTCATTTTATTTCTATATTCGTTGTTATTTTTGTTTTACCTTTACAGGTTCAACATTATTCACATCTACGTACAGAATCTCTTCATCTAGCTGTTAATCTAGTCGACCAGTATACATGGAGACAGAATAGTCTGCTGGCAACAGAATATCAACTAATTGGAATTACAGCAATATTTATTGCAGCTAAATTTGTTGAACGGTTTCCACCGTCAACAAAAGCATTGTGTTATCTAACTGAGGGTACATACAAGGCTAAACAGGTAATATTGATTATGCATTCACTTATATATATATAAAGATTGATACAATACGCTATTATGTTTTATGGTTGCTATTATTATTATTATTATTACTGATGTTCGTCTCTTCTGGACTGGAAACATCAGAATGGATGAATTATGGTTAACTAAATTCTCAAGTCTGTGTGGAAATCAACAGCACTCCTCAGCATGAGAGCTAACATCCGGATTTTCAACTCCAATATGAAGTTAGTCAGTGCTACTATACGGACCAGAGACTTGGCGCGTCACGAAGAGCACTTCAAACAAACTACAGACCTTCATCAACAGCTGGCTAAATTAAGGGAATAGCCATAGGACCGTCAATATCAGGTTTGATTACAGACTCATTGATGCAAAGATTCGAAAGCATAACCCTATCAAAGATCGAACCCAAGATTTGGATGCGTTACTAAGACGATACATTCGTAATAATAAAAAGACACGAATTGGATAAAATTCACAGCCCAATAAACAACGTCTTCAATGACATCAAATTCACAAGAGAAGAGGAATTCGAGGGAGAAATCCTATTTTGGGATATCTTATTCAGGCGAGCAACCACAGGGAAATTAGAAACTCAAGTTTATAGAAAATCAACTAGCACACACCAAATAATCAATTACAACAGCAATAATTCAATAACACACACAAGAAATTGTATACAAACACTATTCAAGAGGGCCAGCCCGCACTCAGTGCAGCACTCCCACCTTAAGAAAAATTGAAGAAAAATATCTCATGGACATCTTCCAAAAGAATGGATATCCATGGAATTTCATCAAAAGATATATACTCCCAAGCCAACCTATCAAACCAAAAGCCCCCAAAGAAAGCATAAAGCAAATTGCCCTACCATATATAAAAGACATCTCAGAAATCACTGCAATACTCTTCAAAGCTTTAGGAGTTGACGTTGCACACAAACCAACAAAATTACTTCACTCAGCTGGCTGGCTCTATGTCAACCAAAAGACTCAATAGAGAAAGATAAAACCAAAACCATCTACATAATAAATCGCAATGACTGAGAAAAACACTACACTGATCAGAATGGATGTCCACCTCGTCTTTGCATCTAAGAACATAAACCAGCTGACGAAAGACACTATATCCACTCCATCTTTCATATCTCTGTATACAGACAGCCACAGACATCATTTCGACTGGGACAACTAGCGTTCAAATATTAGACAGAGGAAAGACGAAGAATGCTGAAGAATTTATGATAGTCTGGTATCCCAGTGAATCGTCAATCAATAGACACATCGAGATAGACGAAATTTATTAATCCATAAGAAGGAAATCTCACAAAAACAAAGGGTCAAAGTTCAAGTCAAAGAAACAATCAGTTCGAATACAAGTAACCTAGAAGGTGTGAAAACACACAAAACAACCATGTATCTTCAAGGTCATCAGGAGAGATGACGAACAGACTCGTGGAGAAATGTAAAAGCTCACTTCAATTCAAGCTGCAGTATGCGCTGGAGATGTTGTCTGATAGGCGGTAAATCTACATCGAAATCATCCCCCTGAGCTACATATCTTCCCCCATCATATCTACGTCATTATTTCACTGAAATTGCGGTATTTTCAGTTTTCACACGGCAAGTATGACTAACTACCCGAGGATTTAGAAATGTTCTGATTTATTTCCTGAGTTGAGGAGCTGCTTAGTTTGTGTTTGTTATATATACTTCTGCCTGATTCGATTTCATTATGATGACCTGCATATAGATCAGAAGAGCATGTAAAGTGGAAGACAGAATTTTTGCAATCGAAAATAAAGTGGCATCCACATTTTAATAGTTTTGTTCTTTATTTTATAGAATTTTCGACGAAGATGGTATTGTTACTTATTCTGTAGAGCTTATCACTTCAATAGTAGGGGAAAGAAGGTTAGATTTTCTCGAGACCTACTAACTAGCACTAGAGTCAGTCGTTAAACTGGTAGACATACTATCTGTGATAATATTTCCATGAAAAAGATGCTGATGACATCTAGGAATTTAGGAGTTCTACTAAATAACACTTAGCTACGTGAAGTACTAGCTAACTTAAAGTCCTTGCATAGTGCCGATTGTTTTTCCTTCACGTTCCCCAGTGGAACATAGGGCTACTTCAAGCTAGTGGCTTGAAGTATCTGTAGCAGTGTTTATTTTTACAGGATGGGGTTGCTAGCCTGCTTCATGCCCAACATTTCCTCTTTACCAGCATTATTTCTGACTTAGCGAGGTAAGGGAGGAGTGCATCGGTGGCCGGGGATCAAACCCCGGGCCATGTGCATGGTCGGTGAGCGTCCTAACCACTATACCACCGATGCCATAGTGCCGATTGATTGAGATGAATTAGTGTACACCCCTGACAACACCCATTAGTGCTTGCTAGGTGGGTAGAAGTGATTTAAACATTGGATGGTCACTTTACTCATTCAGGGGGGATCTTAGATATCCGAATCACTTCAAACCACAAGATTTTCGGCTAGCTACTTGAGCAAACCACCAGTACCATAAATCAGATAAACGGTTTTCAAATTATCAGTTGCAAGTTTGCAGAGATTTGACTGGTAACAGAATGGATAACAAGTTGGCGTTAGTTAGGCAGTCATTGGAAAACCTTGTAGTATTAATTAGTTGTTTCATCTTACTTGGGGGCTTCCCAGCAGCATACACCCTCTGGGATTTGAATCCATTACCTTCTGATTGTGAGACCATTTATTCTGTGACACTAGCTGCTGGTTGGAGATTTTGGAATTCATGAAGCATTGGGTAGGGACCCAGTGGATGAATGGTCTATGGTCTCGCCTCGCAACTTGAAGCTTATGAGTTTGAACTCAAATCTGTGAGTGCATGGTGATGCAGATTCCCAGATTAAGACGAAACAGCTTTCCAGTACTCCCAGGTTTTCTTATGGTTTTCACATTAATTCGCAACTGGCGATTCTCACAGCTTACACAGGAAACCAAATTATCCAAATTACACTATGTGATCCAATTAATTCCATTAATGGTTGTCGAAGAAGCAAACATTAGTGTGTGGCACTACATACTACTGATTGAGTTTTAATGAGTAATAAGTAGTTGTATACCACTCATATTGAATAATAGAGTCTGTTAGACAGACAAAAGGTGATCTAAGCACAGGATGACTGTTTCGCCTGTTTGAGGATGGGACCATTAGTTGCTCAGCTCAGACAGCTGACTCACTTGAAATCACTACTACTGATTGAACTCAGTTTTATCCTACTATTTATCTCAGTCAATCAGTAGTATTTTATTTTTATTTTTTCTATATTTTTGGTAACAGCTTGATTCCACACTGTATTTTTGGTACAAGTATGGAATTTTCAGCGTGGATATCGGTAGCCCAAATTTCACAGGCCGACCATAGATATCTGGTGTGCGCCGGTGTGGGCTCGAACCCCGGACCATGTGCATGGTCGTCGAGAGTCCTAACCACTGTGCCTCTGACGTAGTAGTATGTGATTTTACCCATTTATTCTTGGTTTCTTGATTACCATTTGTGGTAAGTTGAACCCAATATCCATCGTTAAAAATGATAAACCGTTCGATTCTTCGTAGGAACACAATCGGCAACTATAATGAAAGTACATCCAGCTGGTGTGTCCGAAATAGGAGGTAATGCACACCTTAGATTCCACTGCCAGTTACCATCAAAACAATGGCAGTAAGATCTTTAGTATTTAAAGATACAACTAAGAAAGATATTGCTTATTTGGTTATTATTATTGTATTATTATTGTTTCCTTTAATTCCTAGAGGAACATAGGGCTTCAGCCGCGCGTCTCTTTTAGAGTTTTCAACTGGCTACAAGTCTGCCCTACACTTTCATCTCCTCTTCACACCACCTCCTCCAAGCAACCCTCCCACTGACTACCAACTCGCCGCTTCCCAGTCGGGTCCACTCGAGGGCTTGTCTAGTGATATCACTTGCTGGTTTCGTCAGAGTATTGACAATCCATCTTCATTTCTCCCTGCCTATTTGTTGCACAATCGGGTCCTGCTGGGTTGGTTGGTTCCCTCATTGCCAGAGATCCCTCCGTGTTGCTGATCTTTTCAGCTGTCTAGGTGATCTTGAGTAGTATTGAGCGAAGACAACTGTTAATGAAGGTCTGTATCTTGTTTGAGTTGCTACTCATGACGCGCCAAGTTTCTCAACCGTATACTGTGTAGCACTGATTTCAAATTCAGATTGAAAATCCGGATCTCATTTTCATTTTCATGCTCAGTGCTGAGTGTAGACCTCCACACAGACTTGAGAGTAATGAAGGCTTGCCTTGCTTCTCCAACGATCCTCGCTTTGATATCCTCATCGGTTCCGTTCGCCTGCAGTTGAAACAATGCTTCCCAGGTAGGTAGGTAGGTAGGTAGGTAGGCAGGTGAAGGAGGCTGTTTCTCTCAGGTTCCTCCCATTTATGCAGGCTGATCGTTGTCTGTTGTTGTAGCTGTTTCTGTTTCTGTTGGCCAGGAATCTTCATTACCCACCTCTGTTTTCTCTATATTCACCCGAAGGAAGTCTAATCTTCTCTGGATGCTTCTTCTACTTCCAACTTGTCGGTTTTCGCTTGCATATCTTCCAGTTTGTGGGAAATCAGACACATATATCATCGATGGAGTCCAGATCTTGAATATTTCAACGACAAAAGTTTCATTGTATTCCTAGGTAACCTTTTCAGAGTTTAAACTTTAAAAAAATGAAATCATGAGTTGACTTTTAATACTTTTCTTATTATTCTTTCCATTTTTTAAAGCTGTTACAGTGTGAAATTCAAATGTTACAGGCATTGAACTTCGAAATAAATATACCTTTACCGCATCATTTTTTGGATAGAGGAATTCTAGCGTGTAGTGATTTAACATTGGATGGAAAAACCAAGGTAAAGTTTACAGTGACATATATGTATATGTTTATATTGCTACATTGACAATGTGACACGGTGACTTTTTTTGCAGTAAGCTGCTCAAATGATTTATACACAGATTACGCCAGAAATCCATGTGACAGGAACACTAGAGTATTTCGAGGAAATTGTAACACTGAAAACTAGGGATAAACTATCCACGGTTATTCGGTTGTTGTTGCTGTCTCTTGGGATCCGACAAGGAATGTAGGGCTTCAACATCCCGTCTGCAGTCCTCTTCAGGGGGAACCACGATTGCGTAGAATCTCTCGTCTCGTCCTCCTCCTCCTCCTCACCACCACACGATCTCCTCCATATCAAGCTGGCAACCACGCGAAACTTTTTCTTCCCCATACACATTCTACTCGAGTGGTGGTGGTCTACACTGAGAGCGTTGTCATTCAACGGAGCTTGTCTTCAGCACAGTTGTTTAGCAATAGATTTTGATTGGCTCTTTCCAGTAGTTTGCTGTTGCTGTTGTCGTTTCTGGCCAACCGGCTGGCCATTTCATCTTCACCATGGATCTAGAGAAAGAAGGGGGCAGTTGTTGATAAACGTCTGCACCAGGCTGTTGGAAATGCTTTTCATGACGGGTGAGGTAAGTTTCTGAGTCCTCTTATTATTATTGTTCCCTTGGGTTCCTAGTGAAACATAGGGCTTCAACTGCACATCGCCACTTGCCACTTCTGTCTTCCTTCTGCTGTACTTTTCACCTCCATCCATGTTATTTAGTTCATACTCTTTCAACTCCTCTTCACGCGGTCTCCTCCATGTCACCCTTGCACTGACGTCCCACTCGCCGAGTGCTTCCTTTCGGCCTGGTTCCACTCGAGCAATGGTCTGAAGCGCACGCGATGTCACCCAGCGGTCTCCTAAGCGAGCGAGTGTACTATCCATCCATCTCCACTTTCTCCTGATGGTTGACGATTGGTTCTTGTTTTGTTTGTTTGTGCCCATGGTTTCTTGTTGTTGAATCTTCCCGGCCCGGCCATCTGATCTTCAGTAAAGAGAGAACACAGTTGTTGATAAAGGCCTGGTCTGCAATAGCCTGTTGGCTGGAAATATTCTTTGTGACCCGACCGCCAAGTTTCTGATCCAATCCGTATAGAAGAACTGACTGACTGACTTGACGTTGTTTGCATTGAAAATCCGACCGAATTTTGTTGTTGATTCTGGCTGAGTGACGAAGATTTCCAGATTGGTTGTTTCAGGTTGTGAATGAATGTGTTCTCGCCTGCCTTCCGATTCTCGCTCGATTTGACATCCTCGTCGGTTCCGACTGGCTGTAGTTGAGACAATGCTTCCTAGCTAGATAAGTGAATGAAGTGACCTCTTTCAAATCCCTCCGTTGATGGTGACTGGCGCTGGATGTTGCTGTTGTTGTTGTTGTTGGTTATTTACATAGCCTCCGTCTTGTCTCTGTTCACCTGGAGTCCTGTCTTCGTCGGCTGCTTCTTCGACCAGTTTGTCGGTCGGTTTTCGCTTGTAAGTCTTCGATTTTGTGTGACATCAAACATAAATCATCCACACGCGGAATCCAGGTCTTCTAGGTTCTTCACGTCGGTCGGTCCAGGATATCCCTGTCTTCTCGTTTCCCACTGACTGTCTGATACATAATTCAGTCAGTCAACGACAATTAGAAATATCATTGGTGATAATAAGCACTTTTTCTGACACTAACATATGAAAGAGAATAATGATTGCTTGTCAATTTAGATGTACTCATAACCCGCCGCCAACAAGATGGGTCAGTAAAACGATCTTTCTACAGAAAATCCACAACGATGGAACTGTATCTAAATTATCATAGTTTCTGTCCACCACATTATAAAAAGCGTTAGTTAAGTGCCTGTTCAGGGACATTCAGCATATATACGTACAACCGACACCATTGAAGAAGAAACATCACACCTTACTGAAATATTGTTAGATTACAACAAAATCCGTCGAAATTCATTAAGCGTTACAGAAGTGTCTAACAAAGAACTCTACTAATCCAATCAGCTCTTAGAAAGGATTTTGATATATATCCGTGCTGTTCAGGGGCGGTCAACAAAGTCTGATCACTAGACAAAGACTCAAGGCGGTAATTGATAGTAGTCACAATGCAGTGAAGCTTATCTTCGTGGAGAAAACGACAATTATGTTGTCCTGTGCACTCTCACGGCATCCAAACGACAGTGTCACATCCCATTGTTCTCACCAATTAACGTGTATGTGTGGACTCATCTACAAAGAGAGAATCATTCGCTCTCTGCAGGTTATTTCTTCGGAACATATTCCAAAGGGGCCGCAACAACAAATAAATTCGCTGGATAGAACTGATCCCGGAAATAGATGTGCGACATCATCTATAACGAAGCACATTACAGAAATCAGTCATAAGATCGATTTCAATAATGCTCTTAAGCCCATATACAAAACAAGGTTAGGGTACATAGTTAAGTTCGCTGAAACCTTGGCCATATAAAGGTTTCAGCCTGTGTCCAAAGGAAAATTATTTGTTATTACTTTAAACTGCCTTGCAAATCCAATTTATAATCAAGTCTAAATTCACTGAATGATACTTTGACCCTCTTCTTTCTTCATTTTTCTTATTTTTACACTCTTACGTCATCTCCCTACTCATTATTTGTGACCTTGTCAGGTACACAGTTTGACCTTTAATGTAGTGATTTATTCTCTTTCACCTTTTATATAAATGTGTCTGACAGGTAACCGTGTATGCATATGTGATCAGAATGTCCGAAATGTGTTGCGCTAATACACATTCTATTACACGTTTCAGATAAACTACGTCTTCTTACTGTGTTGTCGAAATTCACAAAGGGAGGTATTTGGTTTAAATCAGAATTTATCGTCAGGATGATCTTGAATAGTGAAGAATGTTGTAATAGTTATCTTCGCAATGGAGTAATGGATACTCACCCCTTGAAGACTCCTCAACTAGAACGCGAAACACCTTCCTAGTAGTATTTGGTTTTCAGGCATTTCCTAACCAATGATCCGTCATACTGAAATCTGATCTGAAAGAAATCAAACCTGCTACAAACCAACTAAAATGGAAGAGAAAGAGTCAATTAATGGCATGAGAAAAAAAAAGGCAGCGTAAAACACTGAGTGAAATCTTATTGCTGAGGGAATTTTTTGGTTGAAAGTAATTCAGGCTGGAATCCTGCTTCGGTGGTTCGGTGGTAGAATGCGATCCGAGTTTGATTTCTGGGTAAAACACACCTAAAACCTACCTGATCAATAGTTATTTTGGGTAAGAGAGAAGGTTGGGCGTGACGGTAGAATCCCCGCCTTGTAAAATTAAAAACAACACCGCTAAAGAAAAATCAAAGCTCAAGTTTGAAACCAAGTGTTTCACCCGGAGGGCGAAGAAAGTGTGAAAGAGCAGGGGAATCTATGACGCGCTTTCATCCTTTCAGGGACTCTTCAGACAGAAGTTATCTAAATCCCAATAAATAAATAGTGTCTCCAGTGAGATTGAGAATTTAAAAGATTCAAAGGGTAATAAGTATTACTCGTCGTACAAAAGTTAACTATAGTCGCTGAGTATACTGCTGGGTGTTGTTTTGATATAAGAAGCGAATGACGCTTAATTTGGAGTCTCGGTGGAGACGTCATGAAATCGTCGAGTAGGAAACAGAACAAAACGTACATCGTGCATCGCTAGCTAACTAGTCCTTAACAAGTGACATTAAATCTACCTCCATATCATCCATCACTAAAGAATCTATAGATATCAACATGATAATAAAGACTAAGCACCATGATCCAGAGAAGTGAATCCATGATCAGACATTCGAAAATTTCATTGGATGATACACACAAGTTTACTAAGTTAAGGCTTTTTTCCACTTCTTCATAGAAGTATCTAACCTGCCATCTAGTCGGATTTCTGTGAACTGATCTACATGACTTGAATTTATATCCTTCTGTATTCAGTTATATGATTCAGTCTCTTCTTCTACGAGTGCTAGTTTCTAAGGATCTAATTCGTTTGATCTGGGGAACGTGAAGGAAAAACTATTAAAATATATATATATATATCATGAGATATACCTGTATAATCCAATTGTATTTTAATCCTAATAGGTTGAATTGATATGTCGTTATCTATTTGAATTAATTCTAACTGAATCCTCGACAGTCGGCATATCAGCTTTTGTAAAGTGTGCTGCTGGTCTTTACCTATCTCGTGAACTTTTACGCTTGAAATGCGAACGTGATGTAAGCAGAGGGCATGAAAATCCACTTAATGCGAATGGCAACAACATTTTACTTGATCCATCAAAGAAATTGGAAACATGGCCAGAATCTATTGGACAAATTATGGGACAAGAAAGTTTAGTCAAACTATTGCCAATGGTACTTATTTATATTCAAAAAGTAATCAAATATCTACCCAATTCAGATATAGAAGAAGCAGAATATGTGGTAAGTCAGTAGATGAGATAATAAGAATTTATAATTATTATATTGCTGTTTCCTTTAGTTGCTAGAGGAACATAGAGCTTCAACTGTACGTCTTTATTGCCTTCGGTTCTCTGATAACCTTTCCTTTGGCTCCATATCTCCCCACATTGCTTTCATCTCTTCTTCACATCACCTCCTCCACTTCATGTTACCCCACCCTCGGACTGACGACCAACTCGTCGCTTTCTGTTCGGGTTCCACTCAAATGATGGCCTGGCGTGTGATGTCACTTACTTCATGGTTTGTGTTCTCAGAGTTTGGCCGAACCAATCCACCTCCATTTCTTCCTGAATACTTCTTGGTTAATCGGTTCCTGCTGTATTGGTTGGTTTGCTCCCAGAGATCCCTCCCAACTGCTGATCGTTCTGGCAGGCCATTGGATCTTGAGTGGTATTGAGCGAAGACAGCTGTTGAGGAAGGTATGTAGTTTCTTCGAAGTGCCCTTCAAGACGTGGCGCCTAGTTTCTGATCCGCATAGGAGTGCTGTTGAGGGAAATGAAAGCTTGCCTTGATTTTCTAATGATCCTCACTTTGATGTCTTCATCAGTTCCATTCGCCTGTAGGTGAAACGATACTTCCGAGATAGGTAGGTAGGTAGGTGAAGGAGGTTGCTTTTCTCAGATTTCTCCCATTTATGCTGGCTGATTTTTGTCTGTTGTTGTAGCTGTGCCTGTTTCTGTTGGCGACGAATCTTCATCATCTACCTCTGTTTTCTCTATGTACACGTGGAGGAAGTCGTATCTTCTCTGGATGCTTCTTCTGCTAATTGGTCGCTCCTCCAGTTTGTGGGAAAGCAAAGAAATCTAATACATAAAACATTATTACTTTCTGGGTGGTGTTTCGAATACAATTCACTCTTCATAATCACATAATCGATTGTGACTACACAACATCGAAACTTCCGTTTTACAGTTTTCTTTATTCCACCCTCTTCCTCCCACTAAAGAAAACTGGATGAAATGGACGTTTTATGTTAAAGTCTTATGTCCCATTTTGAACCTTATGGAAACATGATAATAATAATAATAGTGGCATAATTTTTTTTGACGAGTCGATCACGGGTTGATATCAGTTAGATAACGAATAATAATAATTGAAAATCACCACTGCAGTACTGGACAGCTGTTTCTGTTGTCCTAGTTTGAGAATCATCGGCAGTACGCACTCACCACCCAGGGTTCGAACCCAGGACCTTCTGGTTACTAGGCAAGCTAGCTCGTAGCCACGGGACACGATTCAATGGCCGCCAGCCCATGAATACTGACTTCTACATTTAACGCGACCACCAATAGTGGTATACGTTTACATTTGCTCTAAAATATTGTCTCTGTTCAATATTTCTATTTCTTTTCATTTTTCGTTTAGGGTGCTTTTCAAAAATACAGTAACCGAAATTACGGTAAAATTGCTCTTTCTGATATAATACTGGAAGCTGATTATGATCTGATTGTACGTGATATTGATGAAAAGTTGGCAATCGATTCTGATCCTTTATAGACTCCTAGTAGTACTACTACCTGCCTGCCTGCCTACCTACATATTATGAATACGAACACAGATAAACTACTGAATACGCCTCAAATGCTGTTCATTATTTTTGTATGACTGAATGAAAGCATTTTTTATTTGATAAGTCAGTGTTTTGTTCGCCCCTTTTTGTATAGTATTTATTTGCATCAAAGCGCACACATTCACATACAAATATATACATGATTGAAAATGGGTACTTATTTTCTTTTTTAGTAGTATAATTTTATTGGAATAAATTTTTTCATTGTTGGTTTTTAAATGTATGAATGACTTGAAAGTGTCAACTGTATAGAATGAAATCACTGTGTGTTCGAGTGTGCGCTTGTTTGTGGTTCTATTTGTGTTCAGCTGTGATTTTTTACTACTGATGTGGAGATTCTGATTCATTTGCTCAAATGCTATCTTAAATTGTGTTCATTTACACTTCTGTAATGGCAGCATATTATATATACAATTATATATACGAATCTTTATTTCATTATTAATATTTTCACAGTTTTGTGTATTCTGAGGGCAACATAGGGCTTTAAGCTTGAGTTTTGAAGTTTCAACAGCTATGGGGGTGTTGCTTTTTTATGGAATGGAGTGGTTAATTGCACTTTCAAACTTTCGAGTTATTGAGGCTTACTACAAAGTTTGGTAAACTAGACAAGATTGCATGGAGGATTTCATCATGAGCTGGCATTCGTTAGAGAACCACTGGAAAACTAGGTGAGAGTACTGGACAGCCATTTCTTCCTAGTTTGGAACTCTTCATCAGTACGCACCCATCAACAGCGGGGCTCGAAACAAGGCCCTTCTGGTTACAAGGCCAGCGAGCTCGTAGACAATTGAGCCACTGGGACCCAATCCAATGGCCGGTCCATGAATTCTAACTTCTGCCAATCCACAACACAGCGCGAGCATTTCGCAATGTCTTTTTCGATGAGTTACTGCCTCAACTTCAACGTACTGTACCCTACTGGTCACGGCTTCCCACTAGAACCCAGGACCTTCTGGCCTTGTAACCAGAAGGGCCTGGGTTCAAGCCCTCCTGTTGATGGGTGCGCACTGATGAAGAGTCCCAAACTTGGATGAAACAGTTTTCCAGTACTTCCACCTGGTTTTCCAGTGGTTCTCAAACTGATGTTAGCTCATGATTAAATCCTCCATACAATCGAAACAAAATCCCTACAAAACCAATACCTGAAAACTAGGCAAGGTCTTGGAGTGTATCAGCTGGCCTAAGTGACTAATTGACTAACTAACGGAGTTTTAGAATACAAATTTGTACAGAAGGGGAGTATTTCAGGTTGAGATACGTCGTATAGCACACACACACACACACACACACAAAGACGGAGAATAAAGGAATTTAAAAAAAGAGTGAACATATTTACGTTACTGGTAATGATTTTGAGCCATTTCACCAATAGTCAACAGTCATTGGTTGATAGCATCCCAAAATAGTTCCCACCTGGTAATCTACACCTCGCTATCTGTCTGAATCAAACCATCTGTCTGATAATTCATGGACTGTTGGAAGGTTTTGTTTTGACTACCACTGACTCTGTTCTTACCTAATCTCATGTCAGCTAGCATTGTTTGAAGACGAAGACGGTGACTAGGCATGCGCAAGACGTATCCAAAGCCATCTCGATTCATGTAGCTTCACAACCTCAAAGGTTAACTTCTCTTCCTTAGCTTGTACTCCGGGCCTAACCACATTACATCAGTTAACAGGAACGACAGAACGCAAACCTCTATGACCAAAGGTAGCTGACCTTTTCATATTTTTGGCAATTTCAATCGTCAATTCTTACAGACATAATGGAGAAGAAAGAGAACTCTCGTACAGTACACACTACTATTGATCTATAGTCAGATATGAACTCTAGGCTACAGAATTCAGTTACGTGTTTATGAATTGGTATTCGTGGAACATACAAAACAACAGAAGATAAGGGCCAGGCAACAGATCGTTTACTGATAAAATCAACTGACATTTATAGATTTTTGTGTGCATTATTATTAGCGTTATTATTAGCAGAGAAGTAACATCTTCTCATTGGTTTTTTTATTGCTGAAGGTTATTATTCTGTTATCTCTATGTGGCCGTTTCTTAGAAAGTTAAGCCATATAAATGCGAATCGTATTTGCACACGCTAATTCTGCTGTGATTGGTTGTTGAGTTTCTCAAGGTTAAGCTCTTTTATTGTTTTTTTCTCATGACCATGATTTGGGACGTGAACACTGACGTAAATTTTTGTCTACATTTTTGGCTTGCAAACAGCTCTCACCACAACAGGAATTGTTGAAAAGGCGGTTGCAGTGAATAAAATATTTCCTTTTGGACGAAGTCATCAACTAGGTTATGCATTCGTGTATTTATAGAGGAAATGTATGAGAACGTTCCAGGACAATTTACTCTCAAGGGTCAAATTATTAAAATTACAAATTGTGATAAACAGGAAAATCGATCAAAAACAATGTGGGATCTTAATTACTCAGAAACTTCATTGTTTGAACAGTTAGGGATTAAGAGCTTAATAATAGCAAATAAAGCAAGAACAACGGTGGTGGTTTGTGCAGAATAATATGGTACCATCATTGTATATTTCGTTAGCTTTTCATCAGCTGCTTACAGCCTAAATAAATTGTGAGGTCTACGTACAGAAAAGTTTTAACAAACTTGCAAATTTTACATGTTGCCAGTTGACAGAAAGTTTCACAATTAGCAAACAGTGCTCAGAAAATTGCGTTTATATAGTTTTTACGCAGGCAGTTCGAGTTTAAACAAAATAAATGTATGCATACAATGATAAAGGAGTTACGTAATAAAGATGAGATGTGCGTTAGATGCATAGTGACTAATAAGTTACGTAACAACGTACTGAGTTTAGCTCAAATGATAGAAACAAGAGACAAGCAAATTACCGAATATAAAAGGAGCGTGAGGTTAAAGGCAAAGATTACGTAATCAGATGAGAGAAAAAAGACATCCAGTTACCAGGCTGGCAAGGAAAGACCAATAACTGCTTCTTTCTGAACACATAAATCTGGTTTGAAGCATTTGATAGAAATTTCTTTGGCAAACTCGAGGAGAATGGAGCTCCTTTATCTACTGATAATTTTAAAGGATCTCTCGATTTCCACCTCATGACCCGCGTTGTGGAGATGTCTGGCGATGGAACTGTTTAAAGCATTTGTTCCCCTTAGACGTAAGCTTTTTGGTATATGTTCAGAAAATCGTAGATATGCCCTTCTTTCTGTCCTTCCAATGTAACTGCTCCCGCAGATACATGTAAATTTGTATATACAGTTGGAGTTCTTAACATGAGAAGGATATCTATCGATTTTTGATAGCATCAAGGAGCAAGTTGTTCGACAGACAGGAACGAGCCTAGCTGCAGGATAGGCTATGGCTAGTGATGTACTCAGCCTTCTGTTGATCATCGCTGCAATGTTTTCACCTTTATAATCAAGCTGAATGTAGATTGGCTTTTTATGCACTATGATTTGTTTTACATTTGTGACTTAAGACCTTCCATACTTGTTGATGAACCTTTGAGGATACCCATTGCTCTTCAATATCTTTTCAAGGAACTCAAATTCTTCCTCTTATTTCTCTATAGAGCATATCCTCCTCTCTCGATAGTACAGAGTCTTCACTAGACCGCATTTGAGGATTTTGGACGAAAGCTATTGAAATGTAAGTATTGTCCTTTCCATGTAGGCTTTCGATAAATTGACTTTTGAAGACTACCGTCTTTCAGGCGTCCCATGGCAATGTCGAGGAAGTAAAACCTTCCGCCACTTTCATGTTCCATAGTAAACTCAATATTGGTGTGTACATCACTGAATAATCTGAGTAGGTGTGAAGCATGACTTTCACTGTTGCAAACTATAAATTTGTCATCAACATATAGACATTGGGAAGTTGTTTCGTCGATTGCATGCTTCAACTTTGTTCTTTCAAGGTTGGATATGAATATATCTGCTAAAACAGGGCTAAGTGGACTCTTCATAGCTACACCATCTTTTGGCGGTAAAACGTGTTGTGATGAGAAGCCAACAAAATGAATGATGGTGCCATATTATTTCCTACAAACTACTGTCGTTCTTGCTTTATTCAAATTCATCAAGGGGAATAAATGCATAAAATAGCATATAGGCGGGAATTTCGGATTAAAACCAAATCTGGTAATTCAGATAAGAATTTTTTTAAAAAAAACAAACGTTAAATTTGTGGCGAGAGCTATCTGCAAGTCAAATTGCAAGTCGATAATTTACGTCAATATTCACGCCCCGTATCAGGGTCATGAGAAGGAAACTATAACCAAGCTTAACCTTGAGAAATTACCAGCCAATCACAGTGGAATAAACCTGTGGATATGTGATTCACAGATATATGACTTGATTTTTCTGAGAAACGGCCACAAAAGCGATAACGCAATAACCCTCAGTAGGAAAACGGTCAATCAGAAGAGGTTGCTTCTCTACTAGAATTAACGCACACAAAAATTTATAAATATCTCTTGATTTTCTCAACAAAAGATCTTTAGCCTGACCCTTGTCTTCAGTCGTTACAAATTAACTGAAATAAATGGGAAGATTGGATAAGAAAGGTAATATGATGATCATTACTTACAGGATTTACGTTTTTATGATTGCCATGGCAGAAACAACGGTGGGATGTCATTCTTACGAATAAATAGCAGGGAATTGAACTTTTGATTTGATATTGCTTTCGCTATTACGAGATACACGGTTGACAGGATGTTCCGACCTTAGTGAACAGTTCTTAGAAAATTACGCTTATATAGGTTTTACACAGGTAGTTCAAGTTTAAACAAAATAAATGCTTACAATGGTATAGAAGTTACTCAACGAAGATGAGAGGTACTTAGGATAATGGGTAACCAATAGATTGAGTAATAATATACGGAGTTCAACTCAATTCATTGAAACAGGAGACAAGCAAAATT